GATGAGCGGAGGGGGGGGGAGGGGGGGGTGAAAGAGTAGCTGGAAATATTTAGTGTGCCTGAAGAGCTGGAAGTATGTGTGCAGGTACTTAAAAAGACTCGGATCCTCTATACTCAGTGAGGTCAGAGGAAGGTGCTTCTGTAAGCAAGCAGCCAACTGCTACCTTACCTATACTTTGGAAATTTGCCACGACAAGTATTGTTTTCTCTGACACTTGTAAAATGCACCATGATCACACACACATCTACTGCAAGCAGCTTATATGTGTGCCAAAGACCATCCTAACGTGACTCTCCAGCAGTAGCCTTCTCTACTTAGTCTGAACTGTTGCAGTGCTACGACGGACAGCAGTCAAAGGGTTTACTTTGAAAACATTCAGCAAATTTTCTCATGACTATCGAAAAATGGATGGTCTACTGTGCAACAGTCTTCCCTACATCCAAAATTGTATGTATATCCAGTGTGCATGCTGCCAACTGTAACACAGACGCTTAAGGACATCAAAGCTGTGTGCATAAAATGAGATGGATTATTCATGCTATCTGGCTTTAGAATAGTTTAGCTGATATCGTTTTACCCTTGTGCCTTCAATACCACTTCCTACCAGCTGAGAACCAAGATTCTCAAATGAACAAATTTTCAATCAGCTGAATGCTATTTTAGAGAGGCAGTAACAGCTCTTTGTTTCTCTCCTCAATTAGTAAATACCACAATATTTTTAAGAGGGTTTTTTTCTTTCATTACCTGCAAATCTTGCTTCAAGCTCCTCACTTTTATTTGGGATGATATAATTATTTGAAGGCACGAAGGTGCAGCACGGACAGTGTAAGCTTATCTTAAATCCAAGGTTCCTGTCTGCAAAACATAAAAGTAAGTGGAGCTGGTTTTTACACAAGGAATGACCCTGAAATACTGCTGAGTTAATGGAGGAGCAGTTGGGGCAGGAGTGAAGGCAAAGAGCACTTGTTGTCACCTCTGTGATGGAGCCACTCATGTACAGCCTCAGTGACATCAAAAGACAACCATTCTCCTTCAGCTCTTGTTTTAACCACTTTGCTGTCAATGTAGCGCTGTCCTGGTGACGATAATTCTTTAGATTTTAGAACCTGCAAGAAACAACAAATATGATTGCCTACACTTTAACATTTACCAGGTTTTTATTAAAATGGACCACCAACATCATCAAATAGCAGAAGAAACTATTATAGTTCAAACTGCTATGCAGGACATGTACATTCAAGCACATTTTCAGAAAGAATTTTCTTAGGGTGTGTGGGGAGAGGAAGGTGATATAAAAACACCCTAATGAAATCAGTTTATGCTCCCGAACAAAACAAGCCATCACATATTCCTTCTTAAGAGAAATCACGTGGAAAGACTGCCCTGAAAACTTGTCCTGCAACACAAGTGGTCAAGAGAGCATAGTAACTGGTCTTTTACCTTCTTCAGTAATACACTGGTTAGAGCATAAAATCAGATGCCAAAGTAAAGCCTGTACAATGTAGTCTATACACTGAAGATATTATATTGCTCACCCATAACTAATCTGTATGGTATTGCCTTATTAATGCTTCCAGCCTTCCCTCTGACTTCAGGTACTGGTCATGTATTAAACAGAAAAAAGTTACTGTCCATACAGGTAAGCTGAGGGCATGCAGAGACAGCCTGGTGTGAATGGTGGCCACACATGGATTTGCACAACAGGCGATGCTGCTTCCATCCAAGCTTTGACGCCAGCTGTACTTGTATTTGCGTCAAAAGTTTCAGCAAAACTTGCTATGGGTCATGCAATAAAAAAATATATGTAGAAAAAAACCCAGCCCCGCCCTTTCAAGACACAGCACTGCATGCCTAGAATTTCAAGTGACCACAGTCTTCCTCCTACCTAAACAATTCCGCGAGTGCTTTCCCACATACAAGCATAGCCTGTTACTATTTACCCTAACTCTAGGAAGAAAACAACCGGGCTTTTGGCTGCTAACAGGTTTCTGGTTTCCCGGTTATTACTATGTTGATAGTTTTGCGAGGCAGGAAGAAGGTGGAATGCCATGCAATGTTAAGTCAACTCCAACCAAGATACCAAACGATAACATCACTTTGTAACTTTTGGCATGCCAGCTGTGTGACTTCGTATATTGTTTCGTGTTCTTCCTCTCCTTAGCCATCGAAGTCCATCTCCAAATGAATAACTGACAATGTCTCATTGTTTCCTCCTATTTTCTCAGCCTAGACCAACCTGACATCTAGCAAACGCTGCTGGAAGAAAACAATGGTGAAACTGCATAATACATGTAAAGAAAAATATTTCAAAAGAGGTGTGAAATTATGTCATTATGATAAAATTAGGCTTTTCATAACTAAGCAGAAAAGCAAGCTTGAAAAGGCCAGGTTCTGTCCAACATGTACAGTCTCTCTATTTATTTTAAGGGAGTACTGGACCTCTCAAAGGCCAACAGTGCAGCTCCCACGGTAACATTTGTCTTACGAGAGGAACTGCAGCATGACAACCTCTTTGCCTTCTTTCTGATCAACACATTTAGCAAAAAGACATGAGAAGAGTCTTTTTGGAGTTGGTCCAAGTCTAGAAAATTACCAAGTGCCCCTAGTAGGCAATACTGGAGAGTGGAAACTGAGGGCACTCAAACATTGAACATTGGGACTCCTTTTGATAAAGCAACCTTCAAAGTGTTTGAACAACTGTTTACAGAGAGTCTGGCAGCAGCGAGGGGACTACCATTGCTCAGAAGTGCCAGAGGGATGAGAGAATCAGTAATCAATGCTGGGAAAGTCTCAGAGAAGCACAAATATAACTTTGCCTTCCCTTTGGTCTTTATCAGGTCAACTCAAGTGTTTCTGAGGATGTAATGCAGCTGTCATTGTGCAAAGATGTGTTGGGGCAGGGGGGGGTTTTGGGGGTGAGGCAAATGAGACACAAGAACTTGGCTCATTTCCTTTCCTTTCTGCACAGTCATATCTTTCCAAAGACTCCAGAAACAGCATACCTCAGTTTTGGCAGTGATGTAAGTATCTAAAAGTAAGTAATGTGCCAAAAGCAATCTCCTGATGTTAACTATAATTGGTCTTAGGTATGTTCTGAAGACTCAGCTGTGCCTTGGTATCTAAAATAAAATTTCTTTATTCCAATCCCATTGCTATTAAAAGACAAAGTTGAGGGCTGGCAGTGTGTACCTGGCATAAAAGACATTTGTAAAAGTACAAGAAATCATCACTGCACATATCCAATGGTACAAAGAACATCCATCCTCACCAATTAACTGAATGACAAGAAAAGTCTTTGCAAGTTTCAAAACTGTATGACACTGTGGGACAGGATGGACACTGTGGATTAAAAGAGCTATGTATTATCCATACCATATGTAGTTATGATATCTGAAAGTAAGGCTTCTCTCCATGTTGTTTATGCTGCACGTTCAGGAAGAAAATTATGAAGAATATGCTAAAAAGTCACAAACTAAGTACAGCATAATTTCCACAATTGACATCATGGGTTAAAAAGGCACTAGCAGCTCTTAAGCAAAAGGCTGATAAGTGTGCCAAGTGCCATCCTTAGTGAAACTAGCACATCTGCTTCAATCTCCTTCTCCTGGGCTAAGTATCTTTACAGTATGGTCTTTAGGGTGATGTATGGTCTCACAGCCTGATTGCTTGTAAGCAAGGATGATCTTCTAGCCTCACCATTTCCATTTTTTCCTTCTTTTTCTGTTACATCTTTGCAAGTGTGGAAAGTTAATGGATGGTAATATCCTAGGCTGGATCCTCAGAGTCTACTTCCTCCCATAAAATTACCTGATGAAGGACTCCACTTCTTTTCCTACACTGCGTTCTGTGTTTCTATCCACACTGAAGCAATTGCACTCTATATGGTGGTAAACAAAGTGGCCTCTTTGTAGGAACCTATGAGAAATTTTTACAGCTACAACACGTTCTTCGAATGAATCTTCCAGAAATTCTTATGTGAGATAAGCATTTTAGGTTTTCTCTGCCATTTTCCCATTCTGGTTTGCTTCTTTGTACTTTGCACTACATGTCTGGTCTTACCTTTCCCATCAGCAACACACCTCCTTTTTCTTCCAATACACCCTCAAGCCTATATTCTCACTGAAAAACAACTCTCTCAATAATTCCAATACTTTCTTCCTACTAGATCAACTAGTTCAATTGCAAAAAAAGAAGAAAAGCCTTTTCTGTGCCTTGCAGCTTTTTTGTGCTTGAAAGCTTGTCTATGTCTTCCAACTATACTGGTTGGTCTTAGAAGAGATATTACCTTTACCTATAAACATTGCCCTGCCTTGCCTGTAAACACTGTCTTACCTTTATGCTTAGCCCATCGCAACCACATCAAACACTGTTATCAGAAATGTTGCTGCACAACTTGTATCTGCAGGAGCTAAATGAAGGCCTAAAAAGTAGGCCTTTGTGCAAAAGAGTTTTCAGGGCACGAAAAATATTAACAGAGGACTGGGAAAAAAACCCAAACACAGGACAGAAGGAAAACTGAGTTAAACTTCTCCTTTAATCCTTTCTTATTTCCTTCTGGCACCTTGTCCAAACACTCCCTCTTAAAGAGACAGAAAGAATTTGGTATGTCTATGGGTCATGATGTGGATGGCTAGGGTTTTTGGGGTGGGGGAGTACCGTGCATCACCATCTGCATGTAGAGATGACAAATTCAATCACTTGCATGAGTAGGAGGCAGAGTTTCTACAGACACAACCTCACCCCACTCACAAGCGACACATTTCAACACCTGCATGCACAAGTAGCTGACAATGCACAACGACTGCATGCATGCAGGTGCGAGCATGCGCACCTTCACAGATGCATAAGTGAAAGCTCAAAATCAACAAACTCAAAATTCAGGTTCTGCAAAATCTCTGCAGCTTCTGAACATAGCCATGTTCTTCCAGGTGTATCTGTTTATTTCGTCTCGCTTCCAACAGAGTGATAATGCAACGTTGCCTTTTCTAATCAAGGATTATGCAGGAAAGATTATGTGAGGATCAGCTAATAGGTGAAAGTATTACCAAAAGGTTATGCAGCAGACTTCTAGCCCAGTATGCAGAGTAATTTTCATTCAGTAGCAATGCTCTAAACTCTAAGAACAATTTTGTAAGGATTCCTCCCTTTCACAGGAAATCAGATAGCCAAAATGCTTATTAATCTCTTCTTGAAAAAGTATCTTGTACACCTGAGCCCTGCGTTCTAGTGCTCTCTTTCTATAGGGACTGCTAACCTTCTCCTCATCAATTTTTCTTCTATTCTGACCCTTCCTAAAAACACCTGGGGAAAAAAATTATCTTACAAATATCCATGAAGGATCTCTACATATCACATACATGCAGCTCCTGCCAGCAGATCAAGGCAAAATAAACATGTGAAAACACAAATAATGGAGTTAATTGCAGGAAAGGGTTCATGAAGCAGCCAGATGCAAACAAAGCATTGCTCTTGCTTGTACAGCTACATATGTTTAAGAAGCCCACTTGGGAATCTCAGTGATGACAGCACTCACATGCCACCCTCATCAGCCCTGCCAGATTTCTGGTATTTTATAAATCCCGTTGAAATGTATTCTTCATTAGTTCTGCAAAGGCGTTCTTGCTCAGTCTTCAGGGGGGAGCCCCTCTGCTCTGCTGGACGGGATTTGTCTGTGCTCCTCGTCCATTAGAGGAAGCCAGACCATGACACTATCTTGGAAGCTTATCCCAAATCACCATGACCAGGGCATTCAGCAATGAAAAGCTTTAGTTTTGTCACAAACTTGTTTCAGAAGAATGACAAGCAAGTTTCCAGAAAATACTGATCTCTAAATTACTACTTATTTTTCAGATCAACTGGAGAGCACTAATTGATAATTTTTTTTTAATTTAAGTATCAAGTAGCTGAAATCTTCATTAAAATACTGGAAGACAAAGCTGTTTATTTATATGCACACTTGTTTATACTCTCAAGTAACTATCACACAGTTGTGAGTATAAAATTAAGGACAAGGATTGTCTTAGCCTGTATTTTATAAACTGTGAAGTACACTGAGAACACTACATAATTCATGATAATAAACAAAGCAGAATGTTTGCAAAATTAG